TTAAAGCTTTATTAACAGCAGGCAATAGATTATTCAAATGTGCCTTTTAGGTTCAATCAGTCCAAATCTTTCAAATCAAAGTTACCAATCAAGGTAATTAATTTGCAACACTATTAATGTTGTTAATAATGTCTACTGGTACATGTAAATAAGGCTGTTTAAATCCAATTAAATATGCATTCGACGTGGAAGGTTTCAATATATATAATTTTACAAACTCAAAAAGGCAGAATGCAGGTTTAACCTTAATGATACACATTTCCACTTGTCTTTTAAAAAGAAAAGTCCACTCATACAAGGACCTCAAACTCCTCTGGATGTTTGTTTGCCCAGAGAAGAAGCAGTCCAGCTGGTTTCCTCTAAGAGAGGGGTAAAGTGTGAAGCAGAGGTTGTGTGTGTGGGGGGGTGTTTGGCTAAGTGAGCAGACACTAGTGCCCTTTGTCCCCTTCTTTAAGCCTGGCATGTGTCCTATTAAGGGGGACTAGAGCCCAGAATCTGCTGGTATGTAAAAGCAGCAAAGCAAAGAGGTTTGTTGATTGACTTGTTCTAACGGCTGGACTTTTCTCACTTCTGTAGCAAGAAAAGTTGGATTTATATAGCTTAGATATGTTAGCTCAATGGGTTCTGATGCACCAGACTTGCTTCATGGTTCAGCTTTTTTATAGCTGAACCATTTTTTAAACTTTTAGCAGACTGTAAAAAAAAAAAAAAAGGAAAGTTGAATACATTTCTTTTAAAAACAATAATCCATGCTCATTAGGTGAAAATAAAACTAAGTTCATAAATATCTGTAGCGTTGATTCCTTGCTGCTGAGAACAGAACTCTGGCTACATCTAGTGGTCAATTTGATCAATTACAACATCAATGTAATGGCAGCTGTACTCCGATACCAATCAAAGGAGTGAAGCAATGATGTTACCTTGAGCTTAGCTGATGCCTCAAGTCATCTCGACCGTAACTCGTCTGAGGGTACGAGTCCTAAGAGAGAAAAAAAATATATAATCACATAGGAAACTGCTACTTTCAAAGTCATAGGTCCACAAAAAGATTATTTTGAAAATCATACAGCCACAGAGAGTCTAGAGTGTTGCAGCATAAAAGCATTCATTTGAATGAAAAAAAATAGTGTATAAATAATTGCTTTCTAAATGTCGACGTTTTCCAAATAAATAAATATCTACATCTGGTAATGGTGCCATTGTTATCACAAAAAGAATCTGCACCAACAGGAATAGTTGAAGTCATCTGAGACAGACAGGGTTCCTGCAGCATAAGGCAAGTTCAATTCAAGACTTTTGAAGACTTTTTAATGCCACTTGAAATAAAAATTTAAGACCAAATTCACAAGAAACACAAGATATAATAATGGCGAGCAATTATTTTTTTTAAATAAAAAAAAGGTCAATTTTAACGTTTTATTTAGATTACAAAATAAATCATAATTAAAATAATCCTATTTATGATGTTTTAAAAATTAAGACCTACGAAAGACTGATTTAAGACATTTAATACCAATTAAGGCCTTAGTTTTATTTTGAAGAATTCAATGCCTTTTAAGACTTTTCAAGGACCCGCGGGAACCCTGGACAGAGCTCAAGTGTTGCCAGATTTGTAAATAGCTTTTTCTTAGCATTACATTTCTCAAGACAAGAAAAAAAATTGAAACACGAAGCACAAGACTGAGACGTCACGCAGTGGTTTCCACTTTTCTTCTGAACAATGTAGGTTAAATGTCTGCATCTCTATTAGCTGACCTGGCAACCAGCTGGCAAACAGCATGGAGCAGGAGTGCGCCCCTTACTGGTCAGGAGGAGTTAAAACTGTAGCTAATGCCTTTAAATGTTACACTGTTTGAAAACTGTCCTAAGGACTTTGCAAGATAATAAAAAAATGTTGACCTTCAAAGTATGGAATACATGGAATAGCCAATTTATTAGGGAAACATTTTTTGCAAATTTGCAAATGAGCAAAATAACCCCAATTGGCCTTGGCAGATGGTTCAAGTTATTGACTGTTTGATAAAATGCATATTTCAGCAAATAAAGCTCTTTTTTTCTTGAACTTGTACTGAATATATAGGTGTACATTTTTTACTGATATAAAGTCAGTACAATTATAGTTGGGTGAACATTTGTGTTACTTGCACAAGATTTATGTTATGAACTTGTTTAGTTTTTTTTTTATTCGTTTATTGTTGGCTAAATATTTGGTAATTTGCACAATATATTTTTGAATAAAATAAGCCTATTTTAAAATACATGCATGTAGGTTTTTAAGACTTCAATTAATACCAATTAAAATCGTAATCATCCAAGATGACCACAAAAAAAAAAAAGAAAAGAAAAAAATCGAGATTTTATTTTTTTAGCCATATCGCCCAGCCTTAAAGGCACACTATGCAACATTTTTCAGTTAATTAATGTGTTCCATAAC